CGCAGGGCCTGTCCCCGCCGGGCGCCTGCCAGCCTGTGGTCGGGCGGAGGGTGTCGGCTCGCTGGGGCTGGCGTCTCGGTCTGCCTCTTGCAGAGCTAAACCGTCCTGGGTTCGCGGCTTCTGAGGTTTTGGTATGAAAGCAGAAATAGGAAAAGCAGGGGAAATCATAAATTAGCTGATCTAGGCGCTCTTTGGTCAGTGCCTTGCTCATAATAACGTGTATTCAAACTCTTGGTGCTGTTTTGACCTCGTGAAGCAGATCAAGAGTGGATATTTATTAACACTTAAAAAATAAGACCCGTAGCACAAATGCTGCCCTACAGCTTCAACTGTAGTGGCAGAACCGGGTGTCTAGGGTCAGGGTAAAGTGGAATTTTAATCTGATACCAGGAAACAACCCTGATTAACCCATCAATTTACTTCCTTGCTGCTGTTTGGCATTCTCACAGTGAACATCTTTCCACCATAGAAAAAGACACCAATGGAGATGCTTTGTGGGTTTGGTGTTATCCATCCGTAACAGCTGAACTGAGGAGTCTGTTGCTGCGAAAGTGCTGCCTCACAGATGAAAATAAATTGCTTCATACGTTTGTATTTGGCCAGTATAAAAGATCGTGGTTTTACATCACAACTGTGGAAGTTCAAGATTCTCCAGCCTTGAAAAAGGTAGGACTTGGTCATCTGTTTTTTCAGTAGAATGCAGGGAAGACTTGTGCAGTTTCCTCTGGCAGTTTAAGCAGTGTTTTCCCATTGTATGCTCTGAGGAAAGGAAGGGATTCAAGGTTTTGTGTGCTCAACAGATGCAGCTCTTACCCAGCTAGCTAACCAGTCCACATTTTGTTCTTTGCCAAGACATATATTTGATGGAATTGCAGAGGGATTGAGATACTCATTACCCAATTTAGATTCCTTGTATTAAAATAGAAATGCTATTTCATGCCACTATTTCTAGTCACTTTGCATTTCTACTTCAGCAATTTTTTTCTGTAAAAAAAATTCTGCAAAGGGTCTTTCATAGTGTCCAAAATCTTGTTCGTATAGAACTTGATGATGCTTTTTTTCTCCAAAGGGTTGAGTTATATAAGTACTTTCTTTTCTGCTGCACTGATAACTGGGAGACTGCAAATATACTTGTATGTTCTATACTTTCCCTGTTATGTAGTTCATTAAATTGTCTGTTAAGTTTATTCCATTTTTCATATTCACGATATTTTTTTAAGTAGAAAGATAACATGGTAATTTTTCATGCCCCCAGCAAAATGCTTCTTGTGTTTCCTCACTTCATGCTTACATCTCCTATGAACCTTAACAATGTGAAAAACATAAAATAGAATAAAGTGTCCCAGTGCTGTCTCGGACAGTGGCAGTGGGAGATGCTATTTAAGGAGGACGTTTAAGCCTAGTCACTGCCTGCAGACTTTTAGCCTCATGCTGTCTCAGCCCACAGTCATTTGATTAGGGAAGTTAAACAGTATTTCTGTTTGTGGGCCTGCTATCTGTGAATTTTTTTCTGGTCTCTCTAAATATATTGATGCTGTTTGCCTCCGCGGCCTCCTTTGGCAACACATTCTGGAAGTTTCCTATCTGCTGTGGGGAAGAAAAATGCCTTTCTTTTAAAATAATCTCATGAGCTAAAAGGAAAACAACTCTGTAAGAGTAGATTAAGCAAAAGATAGTATGTACTAGAGGTGACTCAATGGAAATGAGTCACATCAGGAATCTGTTAACCAGACCTTTCCTGCAGTTAGTAACTAGGATCTGCCACTACTGTTCAGTGGGGTTTTTTTAATTGAAACACCTTGTCAAAGTACTGCAGTAAGTTCAATAATGTGAAAAAGACTGTTTGTATGAGGTCATTAAATAAGCTGTTTATTTTTCTGTGCGTGTGTCTTGCCCAGGTGACCCACTTCTCCATTGTTCTGATGGCCAAAGACTTCAACCCAGAGAAATATGCGGCCTTTACTAGGATACTGTGTAGGTCCGTATAAAAGCTGTTTTGATGTACTGCTGGCTGCACATTTAGATCTTGCCAAGGCAAAAGATTAAATGTCATTGTGTTGTGTTTGCATTTGATCTAATGATCTGCTGGAAACTCAGTCCTACAAACTGTGACTCCGTTTATCTAAATCTTTGATTTGATCTTGAGTTCATGCAGGAAGTGTTGGTTGAATGTCATAGGTTTCAGTGTGTCTTCTCCAGACAGATGCCACCACCACTCACCCACCCACTCATTTTCTCTGAGAGCGTATTTTAAAAAGTATAAACATTTGGGAAGAGGTCAATGCTGTGTAGTCAAAGGTCACCATGTGTCTAGTGGGCAACTTGCATCCTTCTACACTCTACTATAGACACTTCTTGCAATTTTCCTGAGCTAAGTACAGCACCCAGGGATGTTTTTGCCCTTCCTCTAGGAAAATGACAACCCTCTGCCTCTTGAGGTCTGTGGCTCTCTCTTCTCCCTTCTTCCAACCAGGCTGCCATCTTCTCCGTCCCTTGTACCATTTGCTCACTTTCCTCCACATCCCCATTCTCATGATATCTCTCTGTATCTTTCTTTGCTCTTCCTTCAGTTCCCAAATTAGTCACATCCTGGTTTTTGATACCAAGAGTATTCCCTGAGATTTTGCCACTAATTGGGTGCAATTGTGAGGTTATTGTATTGCAGACGTGGGAATGCTTTTGGTTTTACCACTTCTGCAGGGCATTGAAAAACAGATTGTTCTTTTTCACTGAAATACAAAATACCAGATTCACTGTGAATCACATTAATGCTGATTTATCAGCTAATACTTCTTTTCAATTACAGGATGAATTCCTTTAAATGTGATAATTGAGTTTCAAATGTGACATAGCTTTGTATTATAGTTAATATGGAAAATAGGTAGTTGAGAGCTTCGGTGCTATTCCTGAAGTACCCTAACCTGTAAAATAGGTTATGGTGTGTCTCTGCTGTCTGGAAGACAGCTAAAAGTGTGTGGGTTTTGTTGGTGTGTGGTTGTTTTGTGATTGTTAGGGTTTTTTTTTTAAATGAGTATCAAGAACACGTCTATATTTTTCTTTCATCATTTAACAGTACAAAAAAGTGTCTAATGCTATTTGGGTAAAAAAATTAAAAACTAACTAGTCATATGGTCTGCATGTAGTAACAAGTTACTGTAGTAGTTACTCTTTCATAAAGCGGGTACCTTCCAAGTCTGCAAAGAATCCTTAGTCTGAACACCTGCTTACACTTTTATGCTATGTTTCTATGTTGGTAAATGTTGGTTCTTCCATAAAATAGGAGACTCAAATAAAAATACAAAGTAGTTTTTTATCCTGAAAGACAAACATGGTTTTGTGTGCATGTTGAAATACTTCTAGTTTAGTATTTTAAAAATGAACCAGGTGTGCAAAAAGTAAGAATTCTTGCCAATAATATTGTTATTTGTGATACTATGATTTTCTTTTTTCATGTCTGCTGTAATGATTGCAGTCAAAATACCAGACTCTTTCTTTTCGCACAGAATCTACTTGAAGCATGGAAGTCCAGTTAAAATGATGGAGAGTTACATTGCAGTCCTTACAAAGGGGATCTGCCAAAGCGAAGAGAATGGATCTTTCCTCAGCAAGGATTTTGATGCTCGGAAGGCTTATCTTGCTGGTTCCATCAAAGGTTAATTAATACCAGAAATTTCTATTCCAATTTCATTTGTACAATATAAAATATAAGCCAGTTTTCATGTGTTCTTCAAGTAAATACTGTTAAAGTATTATCTCTGCTGTTATGATGAAGCTTCTTCAAAAAACAAATGATAATAAAAGCATGTATATCTTTTCTATAAAATAATTTTCCTCTCTAGATATAGTTTCTCAGTTTGGAATGGAAACGGTTATCTTATATACGGCACTGATGTTAAAGAAGAGAATTGTAGTGTACCATCCTAGAATAGAAGCTATCCAGGAGTTTACCAGGTACTTCATCAATCCACACCAACCCCCAAAAATCCAACAGATTTTGAACCTTCATTAAGTGAAATGCCTGTATTTTGGGGGAAAATGTCTTTATTAAACCTCTTTATTGAAATTGTGCTAAATCCCTCTTAAAGCTTTAAGCATGGGTTCATCAACTCAAGAAATTTAACTGTAGTATGAGTGATGAACTCTGCTTGCACCGATAGAAGTCTCTACTTCATGTATATGCATGCCAAATGAGACCTAGTCATACTAGTTTGTTTTTAGAACATGCATTTTATACTGTGAAACTTTAATTAGTGTAAGTAAAAATCTACCGTGTGTCAAGTACCAATCTCATTTCTCTAGGACTTTGCCTGCTTTAGTGTGGCATCGACAAGACTGGTCAATTCTTCATTCATATGTCCATCTAAATGAGGAGGAAGTGGAAGCTTTAAAAGCCTGCACAGGTAGTGATAATTTATTAATCAAAAATAAAAAGAAAATTTAATTCCATTTTCTGTTGCTGCAAGGTCTTGCTCTTTGGGCGGAAAAAATGGTTACTTTGCTGTTAATGCTATTGTTCAAAGTTAAACAGCATAATTTTCTTGAGGAAAAGGCAAATCAACTAATCAAGTATATTAAAAAAATAACTAGTTAATCTGGTGGTTCTGGGTGGATCCATATCAGTATACCCCTAATCACAGATGCAAAGCAGTTTTGAGACTTTTGTGATCAGAGAGATTGAAAGAGAGATTCTGTACACTGTTGTACAGAAGCAGCTCACTTCAGACAAGCTACTCCAATTTCTACACATAGCTAGTAACTGAATTTTTAGGATTTTTAAATATTTTTTTTTTTAGTTCCTAATTCTGAAGTTCCACATTTTTATTCAGTGTGCTGTCAGTGAAGTCTCTGGCTCCTAATCACAGGTAGACTTTACCAGCTATGTAGGAGTTTGATCTGTGTGACACCTTGCTGTGGATGTGTAGTACTTAACAGATAATCCAGAAAGAGGCCCTTGGTATATGGAGAGATTAGCGTGACACATAATGTGACAAGTAAGAGTCTTTTTATACAGAATACTGAGCAAGAAGACTACTCATCATCAATATTTCTATTACATTACCAACAGTGCTTGTTTTAACTCACTAAACATCTTCTGAAGAGAAAAGCTGCTCTAAATTTCCTCACCTGGCGTGCTATAAACAAGAAAATCTGGGTTTATCTGGAGATTGTTTTAAAGAGGAAGTTCAGTGGCTTTTTCATTTGCAAATGAATAATTTTAGTAGCATGGTAGGAAGAGTTTAACATTTCAGATCAATAACTTTTTTTTATATTGCATGTAGTGTTAGTGGTTCATGTTCAAAGCAATTTTCAAAGTTGATTTTTAAGCTCCTCGGAAGCATAACATTCTGCTGGATGTGCTTGTTAGATGACTGATAATATCAAAGAGAGGAACCTAGGCCTAATGAGTATTACGTCAAACTCTTAGAACAGACTTTAGGACTGTGATTTTCCTCAATATCTTGATTTTGTTTTGGTTATGAAGATTATAATCTTGCCAAAATTCTGCTCTCTAGGTTACATTGCTGGATTTACAGATTCTGAAGTGAACAGTAGACCAGACCTCTATGATGTGCATGTGAATTTGGCAGATAGTGAGATCACTATTTCCCCTGTAGTAAAAGGTTGGTTGCTTTTTATATTTTGTATTTAGAGGCTGTTTATTCCAGAGTTGATTGTAATTGCTGAACCTTGCCGTAGGTCGAGCAGTCTTGATCCTTCTTCTATCCAGGGTCTGAAAAGTCAGTATGTAAGCTTTTGTCTTTCAGTTTTACTGAGACCCTGAAGACTGATGAAAGTTGGAATTTGGAAAGACATGCTTATCTTCTAACAAATGTACAATTGAGATTTCAAAGCATCCATGTTAGACAGTTACATGGAAGAGACATTCAGCTGAGTGCTGAGATACCACATGAGTCTTTGGAAAAACATTGCATGAAATACTTGGAGACTGGGGACTTTTTGAAAGGAAAGCTTGTATGTTGCTTGTCATCTTGCTGCTCCTTATCATCTGCTTTGGGCCACTTAAGAGGTAGACGATTTGCCTGTGCTGGCATGGCTATTGATATGTCAGGTTACTGCCTTTACTGATAGATTTCAAATGGCAGTCATGAAGAGGACTCCTTGTTTTGGCTTGTTATTCATATGTATTTCTAGATAACACAAAAAATTTTATATGAATGTGTGCTTTTCTTTTTTCTTAGAGGCAATGACAATGGGAAAACTTCATAAAGAAATTGGACTACTAATTGTTCAATCTGCAGAAGATCCAGATAAATCAGACAGCCAAGTCATTAAGGTTAATACTGTATTTTTATTTTTAAATCTAGTGACATTTTTTCTATTGCTAAATCTTGGCAGAAGGAGGGGAGTAGGAGGAAGATTGTCCCTGAGAATTAGTCTGTCTATTCTACCCTCTGCATTTTGAGCATTTTTATTCTTCATACAGGTTTTTAAGGGTGACATTCTTGGTTTATATTATCTCTTGGGTAATCACATTGCTGAAGAAACTTCAGAAACTGTATTGATTATAGGACTGCCAGTAAAATTAGTTTCCCAGTTTTATTCTACAAAGCATGTATTTTGCTCGATACCTTTGAAAAAGTCCTACTGAGCTATGGCTTCTCAGCTGTAAAGCTTGATTTTTATGATGATTTTTTTCACTTCTTCCTCTGTCTAATAGATTATTAGACATTTCACAACTTAGCAACTTAGTGGAAAGAGCTCAGGCCAGTGAGAGGAGCCTGTGGAGTGGCTGTCCTCCTTTTATTCAGCATTACACAAAGCAGGATGAAGGGCTGCTGCAGGTTTCCCTTAAAATAAATGAGGTCTTTATTTAAATTAACTATTTATTTCTAATTATTTGCTTTTTGCTCAATATTGATTTTTTTTTTAGTAAGTGTATGTTAAAACCTGTTATAATACCTCATACTGTATTCATGGTTGGGTTTTTTTCTCTTCTTGAAGGATATTTCTCTGAAGACAAAAGAAATCTTGGCTACTTTAGCCTCACTTACTGAAGTTTCCGATGGCAATGAAAAACCAACCCTTAACTCAGAGGCCCTGAAACAAAAGCGATTTCCACCAGCTACAGAAAACTTTCTTTTTCATTTAGCAGCTGCTGAACAAATGCTCAAAATCTGATTTTGATGCACCGCAGTGTTATGGACCAACTCAGAAATACTGTCTTTGCCATACAGATAGGTATACTACTTGATACTTTATATGGAAAAATTAAAGGTATAAGAGTGAATGTCATATTTACCGTGATATAATGAAGAATATTGGAGCTTGACTGGGAACATAATGGAGGCGTATTTGGGAACATTCCTGGTGTCATTATCTTTCCCCAACTATAACTTTGTATATTATGGCTCCTGTATTTCATATCACAACATGAGTGTATAGACCCACGTGTCCTGGCTGTGCCAGACTTGGTTATAACCTAGTGGCTGTTCGACCTGCAGGTTTGAGGTGTCGGACATCTCTGTTCTTGCTCTGACTTGTCTTCCTGGGGTCTGGAACACGGGCAGTAGTGCATGTGCTGTAAAACCAGCGTGGTTTGGATGTGCTAGTCTCTGCACAGGGATACACGGAACGTGCTGGTGGTCTGAGTGCTCATTCTGGGCTTCAGGTATGTCAGATACTGCTCTTGCTCTAGACTGCCCCTGGGAATCCCAAATAAATGGACAAGTTCTCTTATTTCTACTTTAAAGTGTCCAGGTATAAAAAAGGATGTCTGGGAAAATCTGATGTGGTAGCCTTAGTGTATAAAGGAAGAGGTATTCTAAAGCTCAAGTGGGAGATTTTGCATCTCTTTTACACTCTTGCCTTAGAGGTTTTTTCCCTCTTTCACTCCATCCCACGCCTCTGGTGGTGGGAAAAGAGGACTTTTGGAACTTCTTAGGGGGCTCACAGAGAAGTGCTGCTTTACAGCTGGAGTCATTGAAGAAGAGGTTCTCTGCTGAGAAGATACCTGGCCATTCATTCCTGATCCATTTGTCAGAAAATCAGATTAGGTAAAGCCAAATGGACTAGAAATGTTCAAATGGCCAGGTACCACAGGTAGAGCATCAACCTCTTAAACTGCTTTAGCTGTAACACAGGTACTATCTGATGGTGCTCTGTATAGACTAAATGTAGATGGAAACTTTTGAAGTTACAGTGAAAACTGGGAAATAGTTTAGAGAAAATTAAAATTTGCCTACTTGTTTGGTTGCATAGCCATAACTCCAGAGTTTTTTTTTTTTTTTTTTTTTCATTGAGCAGCTTGAAACTAACTGCTTTGTAATCTTCTGAAAAGAACTTAGATTCTTTGTAGGGAAATACTCTGAGCCAAATGATCTGTATTTCTTCTGAAATGTCCACAACAAATCACTCAGTTCTGCAGTAGCACTTTGATATAAGAAAAAATAACCTTTTTCCTGGCCTTTGTACAGATAGACTGTGGCATGTTGTTTTACATAGAGATTTTATACTTATGATTAAAACTTTAGTAATCAATATTTATATTGTTAAATAATTGGATGTTTGCTATTCTGAAACTGGTAGAGCTCATCAATAACTGCAAGCAATATTGGTTTGAAAAAGGGTTGTCCTTTTGTTATGTTGCATACATTAAGGGAATCTGTTTTAGAATGTGGGTAAGGAATATGGCATCTGTATAAAATGGCTAGTTATTACAGTCAGTAAATGAAACTGCTTCAGAATAATCCCCTATTTTCAGGGGCATGAAACTCTACCTTAAACACTTACTCTGCAGTTTAAATTCTGAACACAGAAGTGTGTGCTCTTTTTTTTAACTTTGAGAAAAATACTGCAATTGCCTTCGTTTACCTGCAAGTGCTCTGCAGCTTTTTCTCACCATTTGCCCATTAATGTTTTTCCTTAATGGTTCTTTAGTATTGCTGCTTCTGGTTTGGGACTTCTACAACAGTTGGAATAGCACAACTGCAAAATTACGCTGAAAATTCCATTCAGGACCTTCTTTAAAGTCCACTGAAATGGAAGTCTTTAACCAAGAAAAACCTGACCATGCTTTCTGTCATCTGTTTTAACACCATATTGTAACTGAAGAAATTCACATAGCTTCTCATATTGACAAAAAGCTTTAAGGTATATTATTAGGGTAGTATGGGTGTTAGAGGCAACCACAAAAAGCAGAGAAGCTCAGTTACAAACTAAATATTGAATGCTTACTTTGCTTTCTGTTTTGGAAATGTTTAAGTTGAAAGTCTTGGCGTTGTGTTAGATCTTGTATTCAGATGTTTGTGCGAAACAAATGAAATATAATTTTGCACTCAAGGAACTGGACTCAGCACGCTTGTGTCATTAAAAAAATCCTGAACAGTCTTCCCTTTAATTTATGTAAATGTATTCCTGAGTAGTTCTGACCACTGAATCACAGGCCTCTGTACTGGGATTAAGCTACAGTTCGATGTTTAGGTCAGAAATATACTACTATACATTCAAACAGTTTTGTCATATGTGCTTTTTTTTTTTTTTGTCAGCACTGAGGAAGTTGTATTAGCCTCCCTCAGCTTCAGTACTTTCAAGAGATTATCCTAATGTTCTTGAAGTTTCATAATGACTGTTGACACTGTTTCCTCTCAAAAAGATTTAGAATAAAATAGAAAAATCTGGAGGGTCAGGACAGGGAAAGATTTCGGCTTATTTCTCACTTCCCTTTCCCCAGGATGCATGCAAGCAGACTGTGTGTGCAGTTGCTGGTTTTGCAAAGTCAGATGACATCCTTTCTTTTTCTTCCTAGAAGCAAATACTGTGTAAAATGAAATTTTCATTCATGCCTTCTCATCTTACTACCTTTCTGTTCTTGGATAAATATTAAGTGCTGAATGATGGTTCCTGTCGACCTGCTAGGAGACATGCCTCCAAAAGGCATGCAGCACATAGAATAATTGAAAGCCTAGAATTCAAATGAAAATTGCAGCACTGCTCCTTCCTCAGCTGAAGCAAAAGATAGGCCCTGCTCATTGCTGGTGTGAACCACTGTGATGACAGCTGTAGCATAACATCTCTATGGTTGCAGATACTGGAAGGTAGATAGTGAATGGAGCAAAGGCTTGCAGAGGGGAGCTGGACTACAGTCAATCCCTTCAGCTGTGATTTTGCTGAGTAAATTAGGGTGGTCCCTTAAGGCTAACTCTGTTCTTTCTAATGCTGTTATCCCTGGGGTTTTAGTCCCTGGTAGAAGCTGGCCAGCCTTGTTTTCCTCCATGGGCAAGGGTGAGGGTGAATGTTTTGGTTGAGAGCAATAAAAGGCTGTGTAACCTGGAAAAAAATGATGCAGCACACCTGACAGCATCTGTCTTAAAACTACAGGCTGCTTCTGATTTCAGCCTCCAACTGCTTCAGTCCCCCGACTACCGAAAGGGGTAATGAAGATGTGCAAATAGTGTTGTGAGATGCCATTTGAAGCAGCTGAGTTTCTAGATAAAAAAACAAGCATAAAGCTCAGAGTAGGAAGTTCACAGCTGCCTTACGCCCTCCCCATGGCAGCTGTCTGACTGGAGTCTGAGTCAGAGGGATTTTTGGGTCAAGTGAGGTCATTCCTTGTAGCTGCTGAATGATCTTGAGATTCAGAGGAGTCTCTAAAGGCTGGGCAGCAGCTCCTTCCCCAGCGTCCCTGTGTAGCATGGGGCATGGTGTTTGCTCTCTGATGGGGAAGGAGCCGCAGTGCACAGCTCCCTCCCTGCCTGCATCCTTCCTTCCTCCACCCCGTGGCCTGTGGGGATAAACGGGCACAACCTCCAGCTGAGGAAATGCTTTGATCTCAGGAGTTCCTAACAGGGGAGTGGCTGATTATTTTTTTTTTAAGCTACATGAAAGGGACATGGAAGCCTCATTGTACATTCTTAAATTTCAAGATGACAAACCGAGTAGGTGGGGTACTGCTAGCAGGAGACTTACACCTTCCTTGAAGCCAAAACCTTCCATCTATTGTTGTTTACCCCACCTTAAACTGGTTCCACCACAAACACTGTCATTTAGCTGGTGCTAAAGGCAGGAGGCAGACCTGCCTTGGGCTGGTGTGTTGTTAATCTATTCCAAGTTACAAAAGGGAAGGTCTTCCTGTAGGTGCTGATTCTTCCAAGTCCTTCAAACATGATGCTTTCCTGCTTGTCCCAGTCTTGTTCCCCTCACTTACTTCATCCCTCTGGACTATCAGCAGTTCTGGGTCTAGTCTTGTAATGACTATTTCAAGACTAAGGATGCCAGAGCCTTTTTAGCAATGTATTTGCCCTGCCCTAATTGGGGAAGCAGCAGAATCACCTAGGCTGACAACTTAAATGGCAGGGGTCTGCCCTCCTCTCCTGGAAAATTCTGGTTAGTGCAATAGAAACATTTCTGAGAGTGGGGGAAGGAAAACAGGTATTTAATAACCCTGAGGGGGCTGAGTAGTTTAATATGGCAAATTTCCAGTCACGTATTCAGTAAGAAGCTGGTAGAGTTTGATAATGGGCAGCTGTAATAACAGACACTATTACCAGACCTATTCCATAAGCCTTACTCACAAAGTTGTAATGACATAAATTTGCTTAAAACATCCAAGTGTGGTGCCAGAGAATTTATAGCTTGTCTAGTTACCATGACAATTTGAAGTTCGTGAATGTGTTACTTTCAATTTGTTGACTTTGCTCTACTTCTTTGTGTTTTTTCCTCTTTTCTTCCACTGTGGTTCATGTAACTAGCATTTACTTCAGCCATTCTTAAATTATGTTTAAAAAAGGAGTGGGGAGAGGTGTAGGTCTTCATTGTAGTGCCAATTAATGTTTACTGAGAGTGGAATTAGACCCCACCTGAGTTTCTTTGGTGTGTTATTGTAATAAGATAAATAGAAAAATAGGGGTTTAGAGAATTTAACTGTAGGACGGTGGCTGTGCCACTGTTATCAAAGATTTTGAAGGAAACACTTGATTGAGAGAGGCAGGCTGAGACTGCAAGCCTGTTCCACCTGACCCTGTGGGATGTAAGGAAGAACAGCAGGGCAAACTCCTTCTCCCTAGTGTCCTCTCAGCTCAGGGGAGCTGAGACTGATGTGATCTTTTCTTGTGTCTCCTTTCGGCTGCCGTTGGAGATGACATCTGCCTAGGCAGACCTTTGGTCTGGCACAGTACAATTGCTTTTATTGCTTTTGTGTTGTTGACTATGATGGGATTTTACTATGTACTTAAGAGCATGACCCACAAAGGCAAGGCTAAGCCATCTCTGTTGAGTTCAGTAAGTGTAAATGAGCCTTTACCTTTAAAAATTCACTACAGTCCTCCAGTGGAGTAGTACAAACTCTTTGCCACACTTATGTTGGGCAACTTACAGACAGTATCCACATGGTCTTCCTGGAGCTTTACAGCATGTTCCCCTCAAGTTACAGCTCCTTACCATGGGCTGCTTCTCCCCTCTCCTTTTCCTTGTCTGACCCTTCCCTGCAGTAAGTTGTTAGAGGAAGGCTCAAAAAACGCAGAACTCAAACAAGAAACTAAACTCAACCCCCTACTTCCTGCTTTTGTTCAGTGCCAAAAGCACAGCAGGAACAGTTTTCCTGCGAGAGACCAGGCCTGCTCTTTTTCCTTACTATGCTCTTTGGTGCTGTCTTCCTGTGGGCAGGGAGTGGATTGGGAAGCCATTGGTTCTCTCACACTGTGGAAAGAAATCAAATCCTCCAGCAGGAGAGCGAGGACCTGTGTAATGTGCACTAAGGAAGTTAAATTATGGCAGACTTCAGAGTCTGTACTTGTAAAATTATTTCCAAGAAAGTAATTATGTTATTCAGTACATATTTATCCTTGTCATGCACAGCCTTAGCAGGACCTCACACACGTAACATCTTCGGTGACCTTAGAGTCACCGCTCCTATGACCCCTGCCTGTAGTTATCACAACCACAGGGTCTTCTACCCCACTTGTGGAGCTTCCTTCTACCTTGTTCCCCCAGGAGAAGGTCTGATCTTGATTTTGTGGCCAGTCAGCAAACCATATGAAAGCAGCTGTACTGGGCCAGACCAAAGATCTGTTCAGCCAAATGTCATATCCCAGTGGCCACCAAAAACAGACACAAGAAGAGAGCGAGAGCTGTTTACTCCTTCCACACTCCAGTAGTATGGAGCTTATGAACTTTTGCTTTTGTAGTCTCCATGATTTTAGTATCCTTCAGTGGATTCCCTTTGATGGAAATGCCAATTGTCCTCTTAAATACATGTCAGCTTTTAGTACCTGTAATGCCCAAGTTCAACTACATGTTGAGCCATCTGCCACTACCCCTAATCCCACTCCTCGTGTTAGCAGGCAGCTCACAGCCCACCTGTGGAGCTGGGTTATACCCTCTGCCAACCTCATTACTTTTCAGTTATCCCTTTGGTTTTTGTGGTTTGGTTTTGGTTTGGGTTTTTTTTACCTGTTTTAACATCTGGTATTGCAAGCTCTTCCTGCAGCTCTTCACAGACAGCCCTTGTCCCCTGAACAATTTTGTATGATCAGCAGAGTTCATCACTGCATCGACCAACAGGCTAACCTTTATGCCACATCTCACAAAGACAGCTTTGGGTAAACACTATCAACCTGCAAAAGCAGGGATTCCTGATTGCCCACCACAAGGGCAGAAAGCCACAGGATTTCCCAGTGGCTTCAGTGTAAAAACAAAACAAACCAAACAAAAAAAAGTAGTTCTAAAGCTCAAGGAGCATCAGGCCTCACAACCTCCTTCAAGGATGTCAAGAAAGTCAGGAGTCACTTTGTAGCCAAGTTTGACACCCAGTTCCTAAACATTTCTTAAACAACTAAGCAATATTATATTGCCATCAGGGTTGCTTTGCCTAATACCACTTTAATGGCTACCGCACTCCTGCATCATCCTTGAAATGAGTGTTAATAGTACAATGAAACACACAAAGTCAGTATTCTGAGAAGAAACAGCTTGACTTTACCCAAAGGACTACTGATGTTAATGCCTTTAGCAGCTGTGTTCCTGGAAAGCAGCAGCAGAGCAAACTTTTGTAGTCAAGAATTTTTTAATTAAGAAATCAATCGCATGAGGAAGCATACAGAACACAGTTTGTGACAGATGCTGTGTTACAGTGCTTTCTAGTACAAATATCATTTACAGCATTGAGTTACATGTACATACCTGCCTGTGGGCTGGGGCTTGCGAAATCATTTTGCAAGTTCTGCCTCTATAGACCACACACTTGTACACCAAATCTGGTACATAAACCACCACAAAGTCATGATTCAGTCACATGTGCCAGTTGAATTTGTTGATGCATTCAAGATTTACTTCAGTCAGAGCCCACACTGATATATTAAAGCCAATCTCTAAATTCCCCTATTGTAGAATAACTCCGTTTCCTCTGTAGATGAGAGAAGTTCTGGTTCAAGGTCTTCTCGCTTTATCTGCAATGTATCGTAAAAGGGAATCAACACCACCATATCCTGGTAAGTATACATTAAGTCACCTTTACTGCACTGAACTTGCACAAACTGAAATACTTTATTCAGAAGCAAGACTCTTTGGGATTTTAAGTTCTTTGTTTATTTGGGCATTTGAGGGATTTTCTTGTTTTGGAGCCCTTTTTTTTTTTTTTTCTGACATTCTCTACATGCACACACATAAGGGAAGAAATATGTTTTATTTAAAATTAATTTATTTAAAATTTACTCCTGAGATCTGAACAGAGCATTAGTGATGTTACCTTCATTCAATATAGAATCATTTTGGTTGGAGAAGACTTTTAAGATCATTAAGTCCAACCATAAATATATTTGGGTGACTGCTGTGGCCTGAGCAATTGGGAAGCTCAAAGGGAACCAACCAGCCCAACTCTCAGTACATAATTTCTCACAAGTCTCCTCATTTATGTTCAGCTTACCCTTGCTGCCATAAGAGATTAAGAAATCTAAAAAAAAAAAATTACAGTGGCAGAAAGTTTAGGCAAATAATCACTGAAAATTGCAAGAGCCCAGTCTGTGATTTTCTGAGAATATTCACAGATTGCTGATGAGGGCGAAGAAATAAATGCAGAAAGGAACCCCAGGCTCCTCTCTCCAAAGCCCAAGGTTCAAGGGCTGCAGCCCCCATTTCAGGCCTTGCAGGAAGGCATACTCTGCCAGGGGACAGATCACACTTCTCAGGTCAGTAAGGCAGGGTGAAGAGATACTGCCTGGGAGTTGGTTTACCCCTCCCATGAGCTCATGCTGACTTTGCATGAAAGAAAAAAATTCTCATCTATATCCTTCCTATCTCTGGCAAGACTGAAAACAGTGCTGGAGAGCCTTGGTTTTAATCTTTAAGATAGCTCTCCTGACCTTGGTTGCTTCAGACTGTTGTAAAAATCCACTAAATCTGCCTTAGAACGTGTAAATATAAATAACACACAAGGCAATTTAGCCCTAGCAAGTCCTGTAAGCCTTTACCTAGTACACAGGCCTTCAGAAGCAGCCTCTCCACTGCCCCATTTTAGATGCACAACCACATTAATCCTATTGATTTTTTCTATGTGGCCTTAAGACTGTTGGCCATAGTTAACAGAGTGACTATTTAATATAACAATAATCCTAAATCAATTCCAATGAAAGGACTTACCTCCCCACACTGCGGGAACATACTAAGTGAAACTGGCAGCATCCCTACTAAAACGGTCATAATCGCAAGCATTCTCATTGAAGCCAAAGATTGTGGAGTTCTCCGAAATTTTGCTCTGTCCAAGACATTGGAAAAGTAAATATGAAAAATAATCTGACAGTGAGACAAAGAGAATTAGCTACTATTTTAGTGGTTGACATTGCACTGAAATTAGTAATAACTTCGGCTTACGAATCCCAAAGACGTTTCCTTAATTTATTTCCTATGTTGGTTCCTAACTTCCTGTTCTTTCCCTTTATTTTTTATGTAGCTGCAGCATTTTCCAGGCCCAGATTATCAATACAACATTAAGAAAATAAGCAGCAAGATCAAAATGACAAGAGAAGGGGCATAGTGCTTTAAAGTGTTTAGTCCTTTGACTAAGATTTTTCTTGCATTACCCTCCTTCCTTTCAGATTTACTTCCTCTGGGCAGTCCTGCTTTGCCTTGTGGAAAAATTAAAATTTTAAAAATATATCAAGTTCTGTCTGCATTAATGTCTTCTGATAATGGAAGTGCCTTAAGCTAACAAAGCAGGATAGGGAATTGATGTAGGCAATACTGAATTGTCTGTAATGTTTACATGACATAGATGATCCCTACCAAAGGCTCAGGGCAGGCTAAGAGTTCTCTGATAAAGCATACAATGAATTCTTCTTATGATACAGCGTTTCTAAACGTTGAAAAAGCAATAAAATGTTTTATAATACATGGAAAGCTATTTCGAAGTTGGGATCCAGGTTTAGCTGCAAATTCAAGTACCATATTGTCTCTTCAGTGATAACAAATTTAAGCTAAGTGCTGTGAACAACCTTGACACCAGACATGGGGACTCAAATCAAGTTAGGGAGCCCAGGTGCTGGAAAACAGCCTGTCAGGAGAGCACAAACATGTTTCCTGCATGGGAGAAGAGAGGAAATCCTCAGATTTTTATTCAATCTCCTGCAAACCCTCAAAGCATGGATGTGGACATAAACCAGATTCATTTACTTATCTAATTGAATCACAGTAGCTGAACAGAAATTTCCCAGATAATCACTTCTAACAAGGCAAGTAATACAACAAACCCAAGAAGAAAATTGACAAGTGGCAACAGCCAGATGAAAAACCAGAATACACACTGACCAGACACCCCCAGCCCTTTTGCAGTAGTTCCTACCTCTCCACAAAGTGCATAAGCACAGGTGGCACAAAGGATGTTGTCCCAAACAAGACGGCTCTCGACAATGCTGTTTCTTTAACGGCCTCCAGGGAGAGAGAAAAATAAATGTTAAAAGCAGTGCTCTGTGCAGTTTCAAATACTGCATGCTGCTGTGAGCACTTTTTTGTCTCATACTCAAAAGTATTAGACTTCTCAAGCAACAGTAAATAAGGGATAAAAAAAAATGTTTGAGGAATTCTTTCTTAAATGGGAACTAAACTCCTCTGAGTGACAAATATTCCACTTGTAACTAAGAAATTCCTCAAAAGGAATTCATGATGCCATATTGAGTTTTCCTACCACAGTAATCATTTTGCTGAGACTTGTTTTAAGTTGTGCTGAACTTTTTTCAAATGGTTATAACTTCTGGGCATCCTAGGTACCCTGTGTCAAATTTGAAGTTCTCTCTAGCAGTCCACAAATCTTTATGCTTATCTAGCTGTTTCTTCCCCTCTGGACAGCAGCATAGAAAGGGAGGGTCACATAAAATATGACTCCTTGCTCTAATTCCTGTGCCAGGCTCTACAGTGGATGTTGATGAGCAAGGCAAGGAGCAAATACAGAGTTGGTTTGGTCAGCAACTGGAGCCCCAGGATAAAATGCATTCGCACACTGTGGATCAGGGCATCGCCCTGTGGGAGGCACAGGCTTTAAATCATACTCCCACTGTAGAAGGTGCATGTGATAGGTGCAACACAGGGCTTTTTTTTCTCTGAGGTGCCCCATCAGAAGAAGGTCCCAAGGGTCTTGTCTCCTTCTGAGGTGACCAGGGAAAGCAGAAATGCCTGTGCTGGTGTCTCTGTCGCTCAACTCCGTATATTGGTTTAGGGAGGCTGCCAACCCTTGAAGACACAAGGGTTGTGGAACTTGGTTCCAGAGACCTAGTCCAAGGCTACCCAAAGATTCAACACCTGATCTGGGATTCCTCATTTTAATATATCCAACTCTACTCTCAGCATCACATTCTGCACTTAGCAGGGAATGAAAGGCAAGTTGAGAGAGGCCTCCACCCGCTCGCCTACCTTCTGACCAGCCTTCTGCGACACCCCTATAACCGTGCCATTCTTGTCCATCACTTCAATTCCATTCTCAAATTCTGGGCTTCTCACCACCACCACAGTAAATGCACTCATCAAGCCTGCAGAGTTAAAGAGGGTTTTGCTTTAAAAGGACTATCTCAATAGTAACATTCATAATTACATGCATTTTACATTTCCAGTTCAACAGTTCACAACTGAATAACCTGGCAGCTTAAGAGACTGCCCCATAAAAATCTACTTGGGATCTTGATCTTTGTTTCAGAAGTTTGAGCAAGATTTTAAGGCCCCAGACCTAAAAGTTGTTTTATCATTATGGACTCAAAAGTTTTCAATCACTGCCATCCAGCTCAAACTATGAGTACTTTGTTCTGAAGAGAAAGGGGAGGGATTTGTGGTGTTGGTAGGTTTTGTAGTGGTCAGTGCAAAATCCAGCACAGAAGAAAAGACCCTGAAGGGAACAGACTTTAAGTAAAGGCCGCACCTCTAATTTGAAAGGGACAGTGCCAGGGGAGCACTGGCTCTACTATGTTCCATTATGGCACTTCTCTGCCCAGCTGCATGTCTGTCACAAGTGGCAGTGCTTCAGCTGGGTCCTAGATGAGAATGTCTCAGTCTTCTCCGGACCCAGCTTCACAAGGTACCTGAAAACACCCATCCCACAGTCAGTCACTCAGAATAGAAGCCTAAACCACAGGCACTTACAAAGGCCATATCAAGTGGGAGTTAGTAATCTAGCTGGTTTTCTCCTTTCTCTTTTCTAGACCAAGGTCTAGGCATAACAAGGAATAGTCTGGCAAACTGACCTTGCTTAAAATAGCAGATTTCAATTTTTATTAGTTTTTGGCAGGGCTGTTTAATAAAAATATCAGTGTAACAAATGACACTTTTCAAATGCTGGACTAATATTAGTCAATTACTCTCAGGTTTCTCTCTACATTCCAGAAAATGGAAGCACATTTTAACACCTGCTCCAAGGAAAACAAGCCAGAAAGCTCTAATGGAGATCATCAGAAAGATCTGGGTAGCCTCCTCACACAACTTGGAACAGAGGCGATGATGTGTTTTAATTTTACCAGTTTCCCCCTAGGAAAGGTAAAAAATTTCTTCAATGGCATTAGAAAAACAGTTAATGACACTAAATAGTTAAATTTGTCCTGGTACAACTTCACCATGTCAGTAGAGTTGTTTCAGTAGCCTTGCAAGGTTAATAATACTTTGTTGTAACAACTCCCTGTCAGCAGTTTCTACATTGGCAGCAGCCCCAGCCTAAGGAACTACGCCAATGCACACCTAGAGCTGTGTCACACTCTGGTGTCATGTATGTGCCACACCAGGTCACATCAGTTCCAATGCTACTGCCTTCCTGATCTCTCCTGGCACTCCTGAGGGTTTCAGGTATAATGTGCAAGCCAAAGAAAAATGCTATCTGCATCCCTGGGTATCTTTGCAAAAATAGTCCCCCATCATACATACAAAGGTCAGGAGAGTGCTCTGTAGCTCTAAAACTAAAAACCAGCAAGAATCAAATAGAGCTCAGCTACACTGATCAGTGAGTGTTAACTCTGACACGGAAAGGACAGTACTCAAAGGCAGCCAGCGAGGGCCGCTCAAAAACAGTCAGACCACATCTGTGCAAGGGCAGGGGAATTCTGTACTCAGAGGGAGGCAGCAAAAACCCCTCGGACCAGCTGCACGATGCCCAGTTTCTTTATACTCACTAATAAGAGGAGCAGGTAGAAGTTTCTGGACAACTAGTTGCGTTAAGGGACTCTTCAGCTTGTAACGATTCATGAAGATAAGAGGAAGAGCCTAAGGCATTGGGAGGAAACAGGCACCTCTATTAAAAAAAATGTGCAGCATTTCAGTAAGTGTAACAGGTTAGGAAAACAAATCTGTGACTTGATACATAGTTACCATCTATAAAAATAAATGCCTTGGTTTAACATTCCAACAGAATACATACGTTCTCTAGTTACTGAAGGTATTTGTAATCACTCTCTTAGGTAAGAATACAAAATATTATGATAAAAAAAGCATTAAACATTATTATATATAGGACAATAGCAGTACGAATACAAAGACAGTAAAAGGGAAACAATTACCTCAGACTAATATTCCTTGGACATCTGTCCAATTGCCTTGTGTCACATACTGCTCTCTCCCCTAAACAGGAAACCTGGTTTACTTGTGTATTTGTTGCTGATTCTGTGCAGTTTCAGCCCAATTCTATATTCCCATAATATACTTGCAGGAAGTTTTGTTTAGGAATAAATGGCCAGGACACCAGTTAGTGCTCAGAGCCTCCCTTGGAGGACAAAGGGGAAGAACTCCCATATGCACCCGTGGGCATAGCTGCCTCCTCAGACCTCTGCAAAGTCCTGAGCACTGCTGGCCCAACTGTTTTGCCTAGAGGACAGAGGTGAAAGTCCATCTAGCAAAAGCAAGAACAGCCTTAATTTGATGCCAGAAGGCTTATAAAAATCACAGTTCAGTGTGGAGAGTGAGGAAATGCATCACAGGGGCATCTACACTCGCAATGAGTGTCATGAGGATACCAGAGCTCGTTCTGATGTAGCAAACTCCAGAAACTGTAAATTCCTATTTCAGCACAGAGCTAGCTAGGAGCCCTCGGCTACCTCCCCCTCCTGGAAGGCTAATTACCTGCATTCAGTGCAGCACTTTCATGGCTATGCTGCTGCTGGGATCTGAGCTAACTCTCTCCAGTGCAGATGCCCACAGATTTCATCACTTGTTTAGACTGAGACAGACCTCTTACACAGCACTACATCAAAAAATCAACTACAGCAACCCACTGAGTTACTCTGCATTTGTAAACCCTGGCTACTTCCTCTCACTACCCATTTTCTAAGCTTGCAGAATAATAGAAGGACAGAAGAGGAAGCCAAGCAAGGCTGACAGATGATCAAGAAAATTCTTTCTGAACAATTTTGGGACAAAACATCAGAGTAGAGCATTGGAGCACAATCCTGAAGGATATCTGACAGCGTGAGTATCTCAGTGCCTACTCATTCTCAGGAAAGCAATCACTGAGCAAATACATACACCAATACATGCTGCATAGGAAACGGCTCCCAAGCCATAGAAGATCTGCTTCTGTTCAACCAAGTACTCCTAAGAAGGACAGAAGAAACACACTACATAAGTACATAAATACATTTGTGAAACACTTGTAAATCACATTCAAAATGGTCTTGTACAATTAAGATGATTTAAAAAATAAAAACTGACACATACTTCAGCCTTTGTGGTACCATTTCCATTTAACAGGGCAAATCCTGTGGTATACATGTGAAACGCAAACTGCAGAAACAAGAGATTATAAGCAAAAATGAATTTGGGATTGAGACTAGAAGACTTGTAAATGTAGAAAGAAAGAAGGAATTACCTGACAAAGAAAATTTTTCTTCACCTGGCTCTGAAGAGAAGAAACAATGACCTAAGAAGAAAGCCCCACAAGAAAATTAGGTTTGATGAGTCTAGAAGTTTTTTGGTAAGCAGTGGTGGACTAGAGCACAAAGAGAACTGCTGTGTTATTATTTGCAGTGATGTCAAAGGCTCCACTCAGCACCCAAAGCCATTTGCCTTGATTCTAGGCTAACACACTTTCTTGCCACAGATGTCACATACTCACTTTCTCTATCCAGTATAAAACACACAGTGATCAAAACACAGTGTGCAAGAATATTTGGGCAAGATCCTTTCTCATCCAAAATAAAAAATGCATATGTACCTGTGAAGACTAAATAGATGCAAATAAAACCACTAAAATAATAAAAATGTAATTACAATAGCGATTGGGAAAGGATCAGATTGTTTTGGCTAGTGGGTATATAAATACTAGATCTACTTGATCCAAGATCAAAGATTCTAGGATTTAATTCCCAACTTTGACAGTGAATAACAATAATATCAATAATAATAAACCACAGCATAATTCATGATAAACCACAGCCTTTCTTGAGGTCTGGCCTACCAGGTGTAGAGTATTCTCAAAATACAGGGTCAATCAAGGTAAGGCAAATATTGAATAAGGGAAGGCATGGAATGCCCAGAGCCTCAGAGGAGGATCAGTAATTCGTTTAATACTAGTGTATCAACTACCTTTATTTTTAATGCCAGCGCTGAATCTAACCACATCTACAAAAGAGCATTAAGCTGTAAATATCAAAAAGAAATATTTATGTTAATTCTATTACTGTTCTTAATGAATTTAATGAAAGTCTTGATAGCTGTTATACGTTCTAGTAGTGGCATGTCAGTTCATGCTGTAATCTCTGTATGGAATGACACATGTCAGTATGTATACTCATATGCCAAAATGAAAGGCAAACACATCTAAATAAATAAGCATGTGTATAACTGCAGCTACAAATTTATTAAACAAAATGGTGCATTTTTTGAGCAGTATAATAATTTATTATCATATATTTTGTGATTTCTTAACCACACCACTTCTTACTTGCAAATGCACAATTTACATAAGAAAAAAATTCATATTCTGGGTCTGAAACACAGAACAGAAGGTCTACTCCTTCCTACTGCAGTTCCAGTTTTTTAAAATTAAACAGACCAAAACCAGGCCTTGTTCTCAACACCCAGCGAATTTTACCTTGCATCAGAAAGCTGACCTTCATGCCTGAACAATCTCCCTAAATACTGTTGAAGGCAGGGGGCTATCATGTTCGAACTCCCAATGAGATTCCTTAAGGGCTCAATTTCTAGATTACTCAGCAGTTCCCATAAAATAGATGTCTTTTAAGAAACTTATGCTGAAAATACAACTAAGAAGCCTTAAACCTTCTATTCTCTCCTTCCAACCCCTGGCTTTGTTGGAAAAATGTAACCCTGTGGTACACTAGTATCTTTCATGATTACTCACCAATGGAAGACACATGGGCAAGAAGGCTAAAAAGAAAGAAAACTTAATTTCAGTAAAAGTAACTACAGAGTCTAGATTTTGAGCAGAAAATTACCCTTACATCCCCTCTCTAGTTTCAGCTCTAAGTAAAACACTGCCCATAAAAATCCACCATCACCAGACTTCAGTTCTAACCTTTGTCTCTCATTCCTCATTCAGGAAGCCAGAATATCTAGTCACAGGTTACAGTCAAAAAGAACCCTTAGGAACTCCACTCAACATGGCTACTCAGAAACTATACAAGTTTCTAAGAAAAATTGTTTCTCCTTACTCAGTTCAAAAAGAGATAGGTGGCAACAAAGGCTGTCACAGCTGTGAGTGGTTATACACGATAATAAGTAAATAGCCTAAGTATGGTTATATCTGATTAACAGCCTGTGCTGTCTGGGCTCCAACATCACCCCAAACAGACTTTATCTGCCACCACAGCAAGTAAATTCATACAGTAGCCACATCCATCAAGTGAAAACTTAGCTTATAGTAGACTGCTTTAGTGTGGAGGGATTTGGGAGCTCATTCTGTAGTGACAAAAAACAGAGACTGGTCGGACTATTTCCATGTAGCTGAGCAGATGAACTGTGGGAAAAATTCCTCAGGATGGCTGCAGGAATAAATAAATCTTCGACAGACATGACAATGCAACTAACAGAAGTAAAAGTCTACTTGTTTTTCTATATAGAATATTGCTGTGGCTACTTCCTTAGAGCTATTCCCCTTTGATGCTTCAGTCACATACACAAAACTTCTCTTAAGGGAACTTACCCGGAGGTCTAAACACAACAGGAATTATCTTGCCTGTATCAGGATGTACACTGGACTTAAAAGAAAATAAAATGAAAAAAGTCAAATTGGACCACCTGGAAAGGGAAGAGGGAAGGAAAGAGGGAAGATTTCTAAGTATTTTGTAAACTTACCAGGCTTAGCAGGAAGGCTTGTTTTGTCTAAACAATTTGAAAATTAGGTTAGTAATTAAGTTTCAGAAGAGACAGGATAAAATCTTCTTTCTAAATTTATTATATCCTTTTTTTTCCGGTAACTAACTTTTTTTTTTTTTTTTAATATGGAGTACTATATATGTATACATCCCTTTAATTATTTTTTCCCTAACATTTATCTCCACATACTCCTTATAAGTTACTCACAACCCATGTGCTGTATAACAGCACCAAAACACACACTATGGCAGAACAGAAAGTTAATTTTAAACAGTTAAGCTAGTCGGTATTTTAAAACAGAAAATAACAACTTAAATATGGCTAAAAGCCTGAACAGTTACTTAAGACTTTAGTTTTTTTCTGGAAACACAGAAGTTTTCATTTCTCCTTTCAGACTTTGACACACAAGGTACTAAATGCCACATGGGAAGAGCTGAGCCTACACTGAGTCAAAAGAAAGACTCCTAACAAAGAACGAGTTCAGCACTACTTTCCAGTAATTCTGTGAGTAGGTTTCCCACCCAAGTACTGCTACTGGTCATTTTATGAGATGTGAAACCAAACCAACCTGCCCTTTGTATGGTGATGCAACATCTAGGATTCAAAATGAGCTCATTAACCATTCTGCATATTTATCACCTAGCTATATCACCTCTGCTGAGGACAGACAAGTTTAAAGCAGTGATTCCAAGAGTGATCTGAGAGCGTCTTTTAAACTCATCTGTGGGATACATAACCTAGCATTCTTCAGGATGATAATACTGCAATTTACATTGAAGTCAGTAGTAATACAAAGTAATTCCTATTAGATTAATTGATTAGAAAAATCTCTGTAGCAATGAGTTTTTCTTATGTTATCCCTTGTACCCGAATCTCAGTATTTTGTCTGACAGATCTTATACGAATATCAACTATTTCAGCCATGAAACAGGACACCTCAATCTCCTATAAACTGCACTCCAACATACCTGATCATTCTTTATGGGCTCGCTTAGGGTCTTCGCACTGTTTTCTATGAATAACCTGGTTCTTCTTATTTCATCCTACATTTGAGAAAAAACAAAACAAACAGAAAAAAAACCCTCAGACTTAAATATTCTGAAGTGCAATATATCCGTTACTAGACACTCTAAATACAAACCTAGAATGTCAAGCTAATAATGCTCCTGTCCCTCAACAGAGCAGGGAAAGCAAGGAATGCACCTAGACACACAACCAATTCACCACCATAGAAACTTTTAGATTATTCAGGCTCCCTTGATCCCTTTCAGTATCAATCCCTCAACCCATTACACAAATTCACTGGAATTTCACTGGAAACATATGAAAAACCTCACTGAAATCAAATGTTAATATTGCACTTAGTCATCCACGTGTGCTGGCAAATTCAAAGATGTGCTGCCACAGCAACTACCTGATATCCCCACAGGCACCTAGGTGACTTTAAAATGAAATTCCAAACCAGACTTTTAAAATTACCAGAAATGAGTCACAACATTACTAGATGTTCCTACATGTGCACAAATGTGTGATCAAGTTTGCATCTTACACTCTTCCTTTAAACTTGTCTTAAATTTTTAATTATGGAAAACAGCTACACTAAAAAGAGAATAAAACTGTAACTTCATGTAGTTAGCCACGGGCTACACAAAAAAGCTGCCCCTCCTGGGAGAATTTAGGAGATGATGTGATTTTTCTTCAACAGACACATCTCTATTTACAACACTATATTCAAGGAGGTGTAAACCAATCCCAGAGTTCCAAATCCTTAAATGTACTATAAAATTTTCTTGTTGGTGTTTATAGATATAACGTACTTTTACTAAATTACATTATTTGCACATGTAAATATATATGGAGATATGTATTCATACCATATATACACAAATATAGATAAATAGATAGACACAACACACTAATTCTGAAAGTGACAAGGAAATATCTCATGTACACACATTCTGAGAGTATTCTTTTGCTTTAATGGAGCTTTCCCTTTAAAAATTAAAAAAAAAAAATCTATAAACAAAAATCTCTTTAACATCCTAACCAATCAGCCAACTCTCATACAATATGCTGTCACCCCTGATAAAACTATACAGAAGTAAACTGACAGAAAAGCACATCTTCCCCAGAATTTTGCTGTCACAGAATCACAGAATCAACTAGGTTGGAAAGGACCTTGAAGATCATCCAGTCCAACCATTAACCTAACACTGACAGTTCCCAACTCCACCAGATCCCTCAGCGACCCGACTCTTAAACCCCTCCAGGGATGGGGACTCCACCACCTCCCTGGGCAGCCCATTCCAACGACCAACAACCTGCTCTGTAAAGAAATGTTTCCTAATATCCAGTCTAAACCTTCCCTGGCACAACTTGAGACCATTACCTCTTGTCCTATCCTTACTACTTGGTTAAAGAGGCTCATCCCCAGCTCTTTCAACCTTTCAGAGAGTTGTAGAGGGGGATGAGGTCTCCCCTCAGCCTCTTCTCCAGACTCTGGACAGTTCATGAAATTTAGAAGCTACACTTTGATGTGTTTCGTGTCACGCTTTGAATAATTAATGTTAAAGTTGTAATAATCATTCTCCAGTATAAAAAGGGCCTCCAAATCAGGCATACTCCCTCCTAGGGGAGGATTAATTTCAGTATAGCCACTTGGAGGAGAAGCAAAGAGCTTCATGAACTTCCGATTAAGCTGCACTGCAAGGATGGGTACGTGGGTTCGCCAGCAGAGATTTTGGGTGCCTGCGATGCTGTTTAGCAAACCTGTCCTCTCCAAAACGGTGACAGCTCCCCGCCACGAATCTGTATTTAAGAACAGCCCGCCCAGGTGCTCGCTTCCTCGCTCCTGCCTTTGGGGGTTTCCTGAGCCTTACCTGGGCTAATTCAGCTGTTGGCACAGCAGCCACGGCGTGAACAGGGCTGCCGAAACGGCGGTGTCTAGAAATGACCTTCATGCAATTATACACAGAAATGCAGACACGTATGGCCACGTCCCGCCGCCAAGGGCAGCGGGGGGAGCCTGTGTGTCCCCCCCCCGGGCCCCAAAACACCGTCCCTCCTGTCACCCCCAGCTTCGAACGGCAGCGCGGCCCGCGGTACTCACGGCGGATTTCAGGAGCAGCAAAGGATCCAAGACGTCCGCCCAGAGAAGAAACCCTGTCTCTTA